ATATATAAATATAAATATTTATATATCGGTCAAATATATTTGTGGTCGAAATTAACCGCAATATATTTATTTGAATTTTTATATGCATTAATTATTTTCGCATTAACAGCATTGTTGTGCGGTATATGTGGTCGTATGTATGTGTATGCGGTCGTCTGTGTGTGCGTGTGTGTGTTTTTTTTTTTTGTCTGTATTATCAAGAAGTGTGCACAGCTGTAAATAAATATCAAATAAATGGCAGCACAATTTGTCTGTCTGTTTGGATATCGGCTTTGGAGCATATGAAAAATAGATTGTTTTTTTATAAATCGAATTAATTGCAGCAAATTACTTTATTATCAAAAAAAAAAAAAAAAGAAGGAAATTACTATTCATTATTAATTGCCCAATTAAAAGATCCAAGTATTGAGCGTGTGAGTCTGTATGAAACTTTAAATAATAATTAGCTGTCCACAAATAAATTCAATTCAATTACAAGCATTGACAGATAGATATTTATACATGTGATGTATTTAAATATTGGGTATTACCTGGACACGGAAGTCAGCCAGGTATGCTCAACAAGCTCTTGGCATATAGAAATTTCAAGTAGAAATTATTCTGTTTGGCTTCAGACTGACCTCAGGCTAGACAACATTCATTACTGCCGTTTTATGCAATTCTCATGAAGACTACAGCCAACTGATTGATAATGCATTGATAAACAAATTGAATATATTTTAAAGCAATAGTTCAATATGAAGAATATATCTATAGGCAATATAACGATATGCAGTGGGCCAACCAATTGCATAGAAACATAACAGAGCTCTCTCGCTGTGCGTGTGTGTGTGTGTGCTTGCAGCAGACCATCAAATCAAAATCAATGTCAATATTGAGCCAAGTCCAAAGTTCGGCATAGCTGGCAATAAACAAGATGAGCACGTAGCAAGCGGCTGCCATCTTTCAGGATTAAGCACAGGACACTGCAGCAGGAAGCGAGCGCAGCAGCAGACACACACACACACACACACACACAAACAATTTCACAGCATTCGAAAAGCGCAAGGCTGTGAGCTGAAACAATAAGAGTACCACAACTAAGTAGCAGACGCAGACGAGTAGGAGAGCTACGGAAGAGGCAGTAACAGAGGCGGCAGGAGGCGGCAGGAAGCGGGAGTGGCGGTGGCGGTGGCGGTGGCAACAACGCCGTCATCATTTATCAAGTGCGCGCACACACACAAAGGTCAAGTAAAGTGTTATCCTTGTAGCTATCAAGGCAAACATGGCCCAGCTAAACATCTGGCAGCTGTTCCTTTGACGCCAGGCGTTTTCTTTCCTTTCATATTTCCAGTCAGCCTGCCAAGCCAGGCCTTGGACACACACACACACTGACACACGCACACACACTGACACATACACACACTCATATGCCGCTTGACGTTTTGTGAAAATCATTATCGAAATGAAAATATCAATGATGTGAAAATGTTATGGCCTGCCTCTGCCTTTGAAACTTGATAATCATCGGCAGCGTCAGTCGCGCTGACAGCAACTGGAACATCATTAATAAAAGCCTCCACATCAAAGCCAACGTCAGCCATAGCCAACAGCTCTTCGCTCCCCACTTAGCGACGCGACGAGAGCAAATTTCGATTCTTGTATTTCCATTTCCGGTTAATTCATTCCGGCCAACCTCATTGTAGTCTAGGCCATAGTCAAATGCACGCTTATCAATTTACTTTTACCTGGTGAGTACAAATAAAAAGGAGATATAATTAAATAATTCTAATCACAATAGAAATACGAGGTCACTTCAAAATTTAATAAATAATAAAAAAAGGGCCACTCAATTACACTTTAATCAGTAAAAAAAAAAAAACACATATTTATCTAGATTTTGTTTTCTTTTGATCATTTAATTCCATTCCAAAATGATCAAGCATGAATATTTCCAAAAATTTAGCTCAAATACCGAGCAAACAAAATTCTGTTTGCGAACAATTTAATTACATTTTCTTGACTGTCTTCAGACTGTTTCTTGAATTGACTTCAGTGAAATAGAACTTGCTTCCCGAACTATATCCTTGGCAAGGATTAAAACAACTAGATATACATATGTGTGGATAATTATGGAACCGCTAGGGATGGCTTGCGAGCTGCAAATAAAATAATGGCTTAGTGAATGTTTAGAATATACATGAATAAATCAAAAATCAAAAAAATATCTATGTATGTGTGTGTAAGCATGTAAACATGTATGTATGTGTGTCGGCAGAATAAAGCAATTTTGTTCGAGCCTCATGAAATTTTAAGCATAAGCAAACAAATCTGCATATATTTTTAATATATAATCTTTTATATTT